CCCTGGTAAAAGTGTAGGTTACATTCCTTAAATGCCCAACTTGAAGTTATTCCACTCGAGCCTCCTTCTCACGAACAGATTCAAAAGAACAGAGCAAAGTTAGCAAACAAGGTTAGCTCCACATGCATCGGGGTTTGGCTTTTTTAAAAAGGGAGGAAAAACGGAGAGGAAAATAAAGAGGGAGGGGAAACAAGGAGCCAATCTAGTTGTTTCCGAGGGCTTCCTCGTAGTTTGCATAGCGTTCATTCTCCAGCTCAGTCAGCACATTCCTTTTCTTGCCGGGAGTTCCCGCCCCGACGTCAGTGCGAGGGTACGTTTGCAGTTTGTGCAGTTCTTGAGACAGCTTGCCCAACACGCAAGTACTCAGGTTGGCACAGCGTTTGGAAACGGGTCTGTCCAAGCTGCAAGGAGGGGAAAACATGCCCAAGAAAGTAACCGAAACCCATGCGCAGTCATGCTTTTTGCTCCCCCTCCCCATAGCCTCCCTCCCCCCAGCCGGAATCGATCTATCGAGCACATGAACATCCCCCTACATACACACGCACGCCTTCTCCCCGCCCCCCGCGTGTTCCCTGGGAGATCAAGGCAGTGTCCTCGACGCAGTGGTCGCCGGAGCAGGTTCCATGCAAGGGGAGGGAGGGGGTGAAGCGGACATCAGGAAACCGGACTGCGACGGGGGAGGGTCGTTAAACAGGTCCTCAAGCAAACTGATTCGGGCAGGGCGGGGGAGGGACCCTGGGAGTCAGCGATCCTGCAAGGAGATGGGAAAGGGCGGCCAGTCCGCTGCCATACAGTCGGGCATGCACTGCTGAGCCTCCGCGGTCCTCGTCATGCTTGGCGGGGCGGGGGCGCCCGTTCGGGGAGTGCAGGTGCGATGGCAAGCCNGGAATAAGATCAAGACGTACCTCTTGGTGCCCCACTTTACCATAAATCCCTCGTTTGCAACTTCGGCGCCTTTTTTGTTGTTGTTTAAGGAGAAAGTAACTCGCTCATAAGTTAACCAAAATTAAAGCAAGACCCCCAGCAGGAACCACCGGCAGCCCCCGTTAATGGCCGGGAGCGATCATCGTCTGAACGTGGGAACGTGACCAAGATCAAGACGTACCTCTTGGTGCCCCACTTTACCATAAATCCCTCGTTTGCAACTTCGGCGCCTTTTTTGTTGTTGTTTAAGGAGAAAGTAACTCGCTCATAAGTTAACCAAAATTAAAGCAAGACCCCCAGCAGGAACCACCGGCAGCCCCCGTTAATGGCCGGGAGCGATCATCGTCTGAACGTGGGAACGTGACCAACGGGGGTATTGCAAATGCCAGGCAAGGTCATTCTATGGAGAGGAGCAACATGTCCGCCTGCTTGCTTGCTTGCTTGGTGCCTGCCTGCCTGCCCACCAAGGGGGCCTTTGCTCTGGGAAATCGTCTCCCCGCCGAGACGCTGCTCTGCCTTGTCCGCCTTCCACCGGGGTGTGGGTCAGGGTGAGTGCGCGCGGGCGCGGGGGCGCGCCTCTTGAGTGCACGCTCCTTACCTGTTTCCTTCGCTCGCCTGTTCCAGCTCTTCCGCTGTCATCTGGACGTATTCCTTCACCAAGGCGTTTAATAACCGGCGAGCTTCGTAGTCGCCCAGAGTCCCTCGGTCTGTGACGGGCTCTAAGCCGGGTCTGGGCAGAGGAGAGAGCGGGGCAAGCAAAGTGTCACTCCTTCGGGAGCGCAAGACTGCGGAGGTGGGTGCACGCAAGGAGGGATGGCACTCGTCTAGTTGCGGGTGGGGTGGGGGGTACAGCGTGGTGTGCGTGCGACATGCTCATTTCTCTCACACACACACGCATAGGCACCCCAAACGCCATTCTACTCCGCTTCCTCTGCATTCACCCTCACACGGATGAGATTCCCTGTTGCATCCTTTTGGCCACCATTCTCTGTCTCCCCCTTCCCCCCCCCCACCGTTTGTTAATCCGTCCTGACAAATGGCTACATTCCAGCGACGGGGTCGTGACCGGGACAGAGGAACGTCCACACGCTGTTTTGAGGTGAGACACCTCCAGTCCCGATCCACGAGCCTCCCAGTAAAGCATCCTAAAGGGACACATGGTCCCTCCCTTCCTTAAAAATAAACAAACCCAAAGATTTGTCCGTGACTGGTATCGAAGGGTCCGTTTATTTAAGACCATCCGTTCTTCTGGTTCCATATCTCCAGGCAGAAACCCCCACCGCCGCCCCCACGTCTCCTCCACGCTGTTGCAGACGCATCCCCCTCCTGCTTCCTCTTACCTTAGCGGGACTGCCTGGTAACTCTCCATCTGGCAGACCACCAAAGCATAGACAGCAAGAAAAGAGGAAATCTTCAGCATGGCCATGATGTTCTCTCTGCAAGAAAATCCCTCGTCAAAAGCATAACCATCTCCCACACGCTGCAACGCTGCCTGATCTGCTGTGGACGCTCTTACTCTGAACGACAGTAAGCCATACTGAACTCAATTGGACCTGCTTCCAAGTTGACTGTGCAGCTTGCCCTGTGTTACTTGTAAGTATACCCCACTGAACACTATTAAATGTACTTCTGAGCAAGGATATATAGTCTCAGGCTGCATCATTGGGGAGCGCAGGAGGCAGGGTCGCCTATACATTAAGCTTTCCCTTTGGTTAGGCTTGGCAGTCTTCGTTTGGAAATGTTCAGAAAAAAAAATTACAGTTTGCTATTGTGTTCAAATAGGAATGTTTGGAGCTTTTGCAGAACCAAGGGGCAGGTGTAGGACTGAAGATGGACTAGAATCAACAGATGAGGACTTTTCTGATTAAATTATTCACATATTTAATAAGTTGGAGCAAGGGTACATAATTTTCATGTAGTACAGGAAAAGTATTATCACATCCAACATATGAGATCTTAAGGAAACGATTAAATAACATGCATTAATTTATTTTTCTAAAGAAAGATAAAATCTGTTCGTTTTGTTTGAAATAGAAAAGAAGGGTTCAGGAGGAAGTGTCATTATCATTAAGATCATTATTCGGAAACAAATGACCACTTGGAACATGGCTTGGCAAACATGGAAAGACTCTCCCCCACCTTTTCATTTAAATAAATGAAACTGTAAAGTATTGTTTCTGAAAAATGAAATACAGTATTTATCATAGATATACAAAGGAAGAAAACACCGTTTTCAGAACAAGTTACCTATCTGTACTTATCCATCCATCAATCACATTTTCTGGATGCAAAAGCCTAGGGGCATCTCAATAGAAAATTGTGTTATCCCATTAACTTGTATCTATAGAGTCAGAACGTTTTCCTAAGCCTCGTGTTGGAAAACATTTCCTCCCCGTTGGGACACACAGGCTTTCTTTCCGACCTCTTTCCTGTCCAGTTCAATGCACCTCATAAGGTAGATTCTTCCCTATGGAAGATCAGGTTGCACTAAATTATCAGCGTTATTATATTTTAAGATGCCACAAGATTCTTCCTCTTTTCTCCTGTCATAGACCTAACTGCCTCTGGAGACAAGAAAACACCCTGTCCAATTGCAGGATATTTCTGATTACAGGAAAGTAGTTTCTTCACTACCCTACCCGTAAGATTTGCATCACCCTGATCTTAATAGATGCAAAAGGAAAGGCAGGTGTGTTTTTAAAAATCAACGGCTAGTTGATGTATGAAAAAGGAGCGAATTAATACAACACCCCAATACCTGATTTTGACTATTCTTCTTTCAGCATCTACTTGTGTGCATTTGTGCATTTTTCCCATAGTAAGTGACAAATGCATCTTTCCCCCCAACGTTCATTGTTTTAAAAATATTCATTCTTTAAAAATATATATCCACGTAAAAGAGAAAAGTCAAGATGAAAACATCAGAACCTGACATTCTTGATATGCAGCCTGAAAGCAGCCATCTTCATACAAGACATAGCCAGCAGAAGGTCCCATTGAATTTAATGGAGCTTTACTTCTAAGTGCAAGTTCTCCAGCGCTGAGAAAGACTCCCAGCACTGGCTAAATTGATCTAATTAAAGAATATAATGCGAAACGGCTTACCTTCAACTGCAGCGCTTGGTTAGGAAGAGTAAAACGTAGTGGCAATTTCCTCACTGTGCGTTTCTCAATCGTGATGGTCTTCAATGCCCAACGACCCCTTTTTATATCTACCGCCAGGATAAAAAGTGTGTAGGCGTTCGGCAATCACTCGCCAGCCAATCACTCTCTCCGGTATCACTATAAAACCAATCCATGATTGACCACGAAACCCCAGCTCCTCAATTACGTCATCTTCCAGTCACTGAGTATTCCATTCACAAAAAATTGCCAGTCATTTAGGCGCATCTGATAGGTTAATTTGCATTGAGGTCATTGAAAGGGGGGGAGGAAAACGAGAGAAGGTAGGGGGCATATTAGACGATTAATAAAATGTAAGGAAAATCATCCCGAGTCATTAATAATTTCTAGGCCACCTTACACCCTCCCAATCCTCCAAGATTCACCACATCTTTTTAATGAACAAACTCAAAGGACAGGTTATTTACTTATTAGAGGCGACATCTACTGCAAAAAATGCTGCATTGCAGAAAAGCGACGTTGGTTGGCAGATTTCCTTTTTCAACTTTGCAAATAGTGCAACGGCTGTAGCGATGCCGGCAAATGTGTAGAGAATTTTGCTTTTAGCATTTATTGCAAAGTTAGCTTCCTTAACTGAAACTGACGATTGCCCAGCCTTGCGTTTCTCTCTGGAAACCACCTTGAGATCCACAGTCCTTATCATATAATGAGTTAAATGTAATCTCCGGTTTAAGCATACGCGTGTTTACTCCTCCTGTAAACTGTATTTAGCGGAGAGGCGGGCTTGATTCCAGTTAGATGTACATCGGATTACAGTCGCACAGAGCAGATTTAAGCATCGAACTCCATGTAACCAGGGCACTTTTGTTTAGGGTTACAGCTTCAGGTTGTAGGATTATATCTCCGGAATACTTTAAAAGAGTGCTCCGCGCGGCGGCAACAAGGTGGCAAAAATATTTTTTTTTAAAAAAGTCTGCCACCCTGTGCACAATTATTTAAAAGTAAAATCTCGGTAAGGACTAGCTTTCGAGCAGGCTTCTATACGATCGTGCTTGTTGGTGTATATTTTCGCAGAGGCACCACATGGTCCAGAATGACTTGGTCTGGTAACTTTAAGGATGGACTTTGGAGTCAGAGGAGCCGGCTTGAGCCTCCGACGTTTGGAATCCAGCCAAACAGCCAGCTCCGAGTCAATGGGACTGCTTGCGTTCCTTCCAGCTCGCTTCACGGTTAACCCTTCCTTGGCTGTATGTATGTATCAAAAAGCACAGCGCCTTTTTTCTGTTTGGCTATGTCAAGAGGCAGGCTGTGGCTTTTGAACCCCAAAGCAGGGTTTGCAGGACCACTCGGGTATCATCAATAAATATTTTTGCATCCGCAGATCCGGGATTTGGGAAAATTACTTTTTCAGACTACAGCTCCCAGTCTGTGGTTATGATTAGTGAGGAAGAGGGTTCTGGGGGTTGTAGTACGAACATGACCGTTTTGAACCTCTGCAAGTCATTGAATCCAGACAACCCTGAGATTTCGATCGCAGAGTCCGTTCAATCAATGCGGATTAGTTCAGCCTTTCCCCTTTTCAGCATGACTGTGAGCAAAGGAAAGACAGGAGGGGAAAGAAAGTGCCCTGGGAGGGATGGGTGTCAGTCTGGTAGCGTGGAAAGGGAACCATTTCCTCTTGTTTAGGGGATTAGTAACGAGTGTTAGGAAGAGATTAACTTTCCGTTCTCTTTGAGATTCCCTCTACCACTTTTTTCACCTGTTGACTCTGAGGTCATGTAGTCCCCCCCCAAAAAAAACACTGGACAGAGGACCTTCTGTGCTGTAGGATCCACAGCAATGTTGATTTTGAATCTATACCGTCCTGATAACGCTTCTAACGGAGATCTATCGCTCTGCCTCCCTCTTCTTTTCTTTTCTTTGCGTTAAAACACTGAAAATAAAAAGCAGCGCACGCTAACTCCCCACGATCCCCGCTGCCAACGTTTCGGAGACGCTTTGCAACCGGCTGGCCTATTCCCTTGCGTGAAGAAGCGCAAAGAGAGAAACGGGGAGAGGTCGCCGTCGTCGCCTGGAGGGGGGGGAGAGCGCCCCCAGAGCCCTGTCAGCCCTGGGGTGTCCCCAGTCCGCGTGGGGGCGAGCCTTGGGGCTGGTGAGGAGGAGGGCTGGCGGGAGGGCCAGCGGCTTGTGCGTCTCCTCTCCGGAGTGATTCAGTCACTCCTTGCCAAGCCCCGACGGCCGCGATCGATGGACTTAATGGGAAATTGCGTTGGCAAGGGCCCCGCGGCGGCAAAGCGCGCCCGATCAGCCCTGGGGTGTCCCCAGTCCGCGTGGGGGCGAGCCTTGGGGCTGGTGAGGAGGAGGGCTGGCGGGAGGGCCAGCGGCTTGTGCGTCTCCTCTCCGGAGTGATTCAGTCACTCCTTGCCAAGCCCCGACGGCCGCGATCGATGGACTTAATGGGAAATTGCGTTGGCAAGGGCCCCGCGGCGGCAAAGCGCGCCCGATTTCTCCCTCTTGCCGCCCGG